GTCTTTAGAACCTCTCTGAACTTTTTACATTTAAAATTTTCTTGTGCCTGTTTTTGAAATTGAATTTTATAATGTTTGGGGACTGGAGAGGTCTTTTAATTGAGTAGGAATGTCTGTGTCACCTAGATTTCTATAAGAACTTTGGTATTACTGTACTGAGCTCTGCATCCTCAATAAGGTGTGTGCACCCAGGAATGGAAGTCAGAAGGCTGAGTTAGCTGCCTGAGTTTCTCAGGTATTAACTGGGAGAAAGGCAGCTAGATTGGGATTCACAACAGAGTGCATAATAGGGATGGAAAATCAATAGAAAGTTGGTAAGAAACATCCAAGAGCTGTGTCTGCATCCTGCCTCTTTTCCAGAAGTAGGCATGACCTTGTAGCCATCCTCACTTGTTCCTTCTCCATCCATGTAAATTTTGTCTTTCTGACTATTTAACAGTCTGGCTTCAAATATATCTCAGCATTAGTTAAGCATGATGCCAAAGGCACTCTCATGATATGAGATATGAGACTTCAAGCTCTCAGGTTAGTAGAGGACTGAAGTGTAGCTCATCTAATTTCTTTGTGAGTTATTTTTTAGGCTGTTATAAATAAGAGGATTTCTTCCTTATGCAGTGTGGGTCATGCATGCCTCTCAGGTTGTGCCCCATTAGGGGGATGACCATCAGGATGCTTTGCTTTGAGACACCATAAAGGCTTTCAGCAGCAAACTAAGCAGCTTGGTTAAGCGTGTGCTTATAGGCAACCACAACCCAAACAGCTCAGATGCCTACCCAAGTTATATGACAAAACCACATCTGAAGAATTTAAGACATTGCATAGATTGCCTTATTAGCATTAGGATGTTACATTCTGCCTGAAGTGCAATTTAGACTCTAGTCCCTTTGTGATTTTGAGCTTCACTTCCCAATCTGTAAATTGGGAGTAATTTATAACTGGAACAGGCTGCCCAGGGAGGTTGTGGAGTCTCCTTCCCTAGAGACATTCAAAACCCGCCTGGACACATTCCTGTGTAACATTATCTAGGTGTTCCTGCTCCGGCAGGGGGATTGGACTAGATGATCTTTTGAGGTCCCTTCCAATCTCTAGCATACTGTGATACTGTGATACTGTGATAACTTGCTTATTGCACAGGAGAATTGTAAGCATAGGTACATTACAAATTATGAGGCACCCAGATACTATAGGGATGGTAACCGTATACTTTAGTCACATTATGAGCCTGTTTCTTTCTACTTACTTATAGAAGGAGTGTAGTGCGGTGTCTGTTTCCTTGAGGTTGGATATTTTCCCTGCTCCAGGTCTGAATGAATGCCTCAGCATCTGCACTGGACCAGCTGCATTGGCAGAAAAAAATAGACAGCTCTTCTGAAAAGATTAAATGAAAAATTGTCTTAAAGTAATTTACTTCATAGGTGAAAGAACTCAAAGAAATTAGGTGAGTACCACCACTGAGGAGGTACCAAATTGCTCTATTGTAACAGCTGCAACACCAAGTCTTGCTTCTCATGTAACACTGATGGACAATCTAGTGAGGAAATAAATAGTGGGCTGTGGATTTACATAGAAAAAAATCTGGAGAGCAGCATGAACTTCTGTATTTATTGTATTTAAGCTTACTGTGGTGGTACAAAATATGTTGTAGGTGGTACAGAGTATGTTGTACAAAATATGCTGTCATGTGGTTATAAGCTTATGTGCAGTGAGGTCAAGAAGGCAAAGAGAACTGGTTTCATATCTTGACAGTGCTGAGGCCTTCTTTATCTGTCTTGTTTAATCCTGTACAGACACTGATGTTGCAATGAAATAGCACATGACCCTAGTGGAATTTAGCCAAATCTTCTCTTTAATTGGCAGCTTACTTTTTCTCCTTGAATTGGACAATTGAATGTAGGAGCCTTCTGTACTAGGACAAAGATTTTGTCTGCATCCAAGGTACTTCTGCTTTAATTAGGAAAATAAAAACCCCAAAATAAAAAAAAAAACACAATTCTTTTCATGTCTCCAGAGTGTTTGTTATAGCAAATTAAAATTAATAACAGTTCAGTCATGTGTGAAACGTTTTTGAAAGATAGAGCTCTTCTGTATCTCTTTTTTTTTTTTTTTTTTTAACAGTGAGAGGGGTTATTCTTTCTTGGCAACATGAGAGGTTTTTTTTTTGCCATGGCTTTTGCCACACTCCTGAAAAATTTTGACATTAACAGAAATCATTCCTAAGGAAATCTCAGTAACAGCCAGTAATGTTTTGTACAGAAAGTTCTGAAAAAGAATAAAAGATGCAATTATCTGCAGATGCTAGAAAGGAGAAGACCCAAGATTTCAAGGAGGCAGATGTAAGAGGCAGGTATATATGTTTGGCGGCTATCTGTTAGAAACCATTGGTAGGAATATCACTTTACACATCCAGAAAACATCTTGGTGATGTCCAAAGTCAAGGATATAAGTTATGGACCTGAGATGAAAATGCTCTATGATAATGTCTAGATGTTTTTTTTCATATCTCTAAGGAAGACAACTCCACAACTTTCCTAGGCAGCCTATTCCAGTGCACAGTCACTCTCACAGTAAAAAAGTATATCCTGATGTTCAGAGGGAACCTCTTGTGTTTCAGCTTGTGTCCTCGGTGCTGTCACTGGGCACCACACTTTGCACTCTCCCTCCCGGTAATTATGTACATTAATAAAATCCCCCCTGAGCCTTGTTTTCTTTAGCCTGAGCAGTCATAGCTCTCTCAGCCTTTCCTCACAGGAGAGGTGATCCCAGTGTATTAATCATCCTTGTGGCACTTCATTGGACTCTCTCCAGGATTTCTATCTCTCTCTTGTACTGGGGAGCCCAGAACTGGACACAGCACTCCAGGCGTAGCCTCACCAGGGCTAAGCAGATAGGAAGGATCACCTCCTTTGAGTTGCTGGCAGTGCTTTAGCTAATGCAGCCCAGGATACCATTTGCCTTCTTTGCAAAAAGAGAACATATCTGGCTCATATTCAGCGTGTCCACCAGAACCCACATGTCCCTTTCTATCATGCTGCTTTCCAGCTGGGCAGCCTCCAGCATGTATCGGTTCATGCGGTTGTTCCTCCCCAGGTGTAGGACTTTTTGGACTTCTTGCTCAGTGTCATGAGGTTCCTGTTGGCCCATTTCTCCAGTCTGTTGAGGTCCCTCTGGATGGCAGCACAAGTCTCTGGCACATCAGCCGTTCCTTCTGATTTGGTGTAATCTGTAACCTTCCTGAGGGAACACTGCGCCATATTGATCCAATCATTAATTGTCCTGGGTTTAGGAGTAGCAGTCAATTTTTCTCCTTCTTGGTAGCTGGTGCAGCGTTGTGTTTTGACTTCAGCCTGGGAACAGTGCTGATAATACCGATGTTTTCAGTTGTTGCTAAGTAATGTTTACCCTGACCAAGGACTTTGTGAGGCTCATGCTCTGCCAGGGAGGAGGGGAAGCTGGGAGGAAGCAGAGACAGGACACCTGACCCAAGCTAGCCAAAGAGGTATTCCATACCACAGCACGTCATGCCCGGTGTGGGGGGTAACTGGGAGTTATCTGGAAGGACACAGGCTTCTGGGTCAGATTTGTTTCTTGGCCGGTGGTATTGTATTCTCTTCCCTTGTTATTTTCTCTTATCATTGTTGTCGTTGGTGGTAGTGGTGGTGATTTGTGTTGTACATTGGTTGCTGGACTGTTCTTGTCTCGACCCGTGGGAGTTGCACCCTTTCGATCCTCCTCCCCATCCCTTTGGGAGCGGGGAAGGGGAGAGCCCCCGGGGTGGGGGGTGGGGGGGCCTCGATTGCTTCCAGCCCGGCACCACTCACTGGGAGTGAGTGAACAAGCTGTCTGGCTAGGGTTTAAACCACGACATTAATGAAGATGTTAAACAGGACCAGACCCAGTATTTGCCCCTTAAGGCTTAAATTAGGCTTGGGATTTTTAACTCTTAGTAAGCATTCATAAACTTTCTGAGAAATAGATCATATATTGATGCTAGACTTCTGGATCTGAGTTTTGCATGATAAATAGGTAAATATTTATACATTTATAAAAAAAAAAAAAGGGGGGGGGGAGGGAGGGGGAAAGGGTGAGGAGTATTTGGAGAGTCATATTATTTTACTTTCCATGTTTACCAGGAAAATATGGAGAATAAAGATGTTGCAAAGCACTAAGGTTGGGAGAAGAAATAACTTAAGGAAATGGTCAGGTAATCAGTACAGAAAGTGAAAGGATTCAGCTATTCTGTCTAGAGAGATGCTTGAGTTAGAAATTTTAAAAAAGAAAAAAATCAAAATTCTGAAGCAGACACTTATTTTACACAATGGACCTAAGCAGACAAATGGAAGACTCTGACTAGCTTGTAATGTAGTAACTTTGATAATGAAATCATAAGGGGATAACAAGATTATCACTTCCACTACACAGCAAGCAAAGAACTGTCCTGTCCAGTAACCAAAAATGGACTTACTCTCCCTCATCCCAACTGTAGACAAGGCAGATGGCTACACACCTAAGACAGATAGTGTCCCCACAAAATACTGCATTATAGTCAAGTTTTTATGAGTTAACTTTGACATCCCGTATGCCTCTTCAGCCAGTCAAGGAGCTCTCTTGGCAAACTGTTTGAAAATGGACGTGCAGGTGACATCTGAAATCTTCCTCCTACTGAAAATGAGCCATGAGAGTGAACCTTGGTCAAAAGTAAGGAGCAGTTCTGCCTAGTCACCACAAGATAACTTTGCTAATCTCTCAAGGAACAGCAGTGTGGAAAAACATATCTATATCATTTAACACAGTGGAAATGTGTAGCACGTAACTGATAATTGTAGCATATGGTTAGTTGCTTTTGTTTCTGCAGTGTGCCAGCCAGAACCATGTAAACAAAAAGTATACAAAAAGCAAATTAATAAATATCATAAGGCTTGAAGAATAAGGACTATGGTGATAATATCTTTATACAGAACGGAAATATTTGTAAAAGGCTGTTTTATTTACTATAACCACAGCGTTCCTTAAAGGAGGTTCTCAAACAACTAGTAGAAGAGAAGAAAAGTCTCCAGAATCAGCTAAAAGACAATGAAGTTAGACTGGAACAAGAAGCAAAGGTTCGTAATCCCCGTATGCCTCTAATCTAGAAAAGACATTATCTTGTCTGGCAAACAGACAGTGTGTGTGGAATACAAAATAGAATAGTTCCACAAAATATGTCACTGCAAAAAAAGCTCTGCTGTGTATTTGTTTCTTCCTGTATGATTCAATTTTTAAAATATTTTGCTTCTTATATGCCTTTTTATAAGTGTAGGCTTACCGCAAAGCTAACAGTGAGCGGCGCATGTACCTCTCAGAGATCTTACAGGTAAGAAAAATGTGTGACTCAGTAACTTAAAAATCATTATGATTTCTTAATATAGCAACAGTATCTGTTAATACCATAAGGTCAAAGTCTTTTATCACTTCATATCTGCCAAATCCATTACAAAAGCTTCTGGTTGCTTAGTCTGGAGATTAAAAGATTCAGGGGAGACTTCATCGCTCTCTATAACTACCTGAAAGGAGGATGGAGAGAGGAAGTAGCTGGTCTCTTCTCTCAAGTTACAAGTGATAGCACAAGAGGTAGCGGCCTCAAGCTGCACCAGGGGATGTTTAGATTGGATATTAGGAGAACTTTCTTCACAGAGAGGGTAATCAGGCATTGGAACAGACTGCCCAGGGAAGTGGTAGAATCACCATCCCTGGAAGTGTTCAAAAACCATGTCAATGAGGCCATCAATGACATGGTTTAGCAGTAAACTTGGTAGTCCTGGGGTAAAGGTTGGACTTGATGATCATGAAGGTCTTTTCCAGCCTAGCTGATTCTATGGTTCTATGATTAAAAAAAAAAATAAAAATCAAGAGCTAGAAATTGAAAGTTTGCTACAGTTTGTTTAATTTTAAATACTTTTTTTGCTTTTGTATCAACTGGAGTTTCATTGTTCCCAAAGATAATCAAAGTGCCCTTAACTGTGAAAGCTGAAGCAATTTCCTGGTACTTCCTTGCCCATCCATTAGTCACAAGACTGCTATGATAGTTGAATGTTTCAGTTGAAAAGAACAGAACCAAATTATTAGCAGTAGTGACACCTACCTTAAATAGCAGTTCCTCCTTTTCGTATTTCTAATTTTTTTCTTTTAAAGACAAACTAGCCAGCCAGCTCAGACTGACAATACTGCACATATTTCAGTTAGATTTGTAAGATAAGGGATGAGATACCTTGTTTTGGTGAAACCAGAGGTTAAATTTTATTGCTGCAAATTATGTAATATGTAAAAGTCAATACTAGAAACTGGAGAAATCAGTAAAGGAATCTGTAAAGATTTGTAGTACTTCTTACTCTGAAAGTACTCTTAATTCCTGAATAATACAAAAGAAGTAGCTTAGTGTGATACTCAAGAATGACTGTCACTGCATCCCTGTCATGGTTAACTGAGGTGAAAGGCTGTAATTAGCAGTGTTTCCATGTGTTTGCACTGTGGGCAATTGATTCTTTCATGTTGTTCATTGCTGCTTGGGGAGATATGAGAGAATTGCTTAAACTAACTTTCCAGCATGAAACCAAGAAAAAGCCTGGGAAATACCCAGCATAACTGTTAATATCTTTGCATTAGCAGTGAAACTGCGAATGGCTGTAGAAAGAAGGTAGGAAATAAAAGATTTTTAAGTAGTTCCTGTTCTCAATGTTTTAATCTTTCAAAAGTACAGCTAAGTGACTATAAGTTGTTTTGGGTGTTTTTTCTCATTCGGAGAAGTATGTTAGAAATATAGTGCTTCTTCATTGAAAAAGTATAGTTGCAGGCAGTATGACAAAAATATGCTAATTGAAATTACATATTCTCTGATCATCCGGATTAATAAATAATGGTATTTTTGCACAGTAAAGGATTTTGGCTTGTGTTCAATTCCCCAAATCAACAAGGCATCAGTATAATACATGCTTAAAGTATTTCATGGCAGTAAGACTGTAGTTGGTCAAAATTAGTTTGAAGATATTTTACTTCCTTAACTGTGGCTAGGATATAACTTGCTTTGTAAAAAATTGGCTATTGCAGACCTCAGCTACACTTAAAATTGTTAAAAGGCAAAAAGCAGATGCTCTGACTGGTGAGGGAGACAACCAGATACTGAGGTAAATTTCCTCTATATTCACTCTGTTTTCTGCTTTTTTCTTTTTTTTTTTTTTTTGCTAAGTATTATGTTTTGATTATCAGAACTGTCTGTTCTTGGTAAATATCACTGAGCATAATCCTACTGACTTGGTATTAATATATTTTTTTCTACTGCTTTTTAATCAGTTTTATTTAATACTGAGTATGTTGCAATATTGAAAGTACATATATTTAAGTGGCTTTTTTGAAATTTTACAATACCTCTGATGTTCTTTCAAGTTATGCTAACAATGTTTTTTTGTTTGATTTTTTTTTTTTCCTATATTACTGCAGAGTTGGGAGCAACAAGTATACCCTGTAGTCCATTAAGAGTAATTCAATTAAATAAATGTCTTGCTTGGTCCTTTTTATCCAATGGAGATTTTAAGCTTTTTGTGGATGGAAATGTTAGTGATTTTAGATACAACATATACAGGGTTCATTGTTTAACAGATTTCTGTTTGGCAATCTGGGTTAGAAATTAAAATTTGAAAAAAGCCCACCTGTTCTGGGCTATATAAAAAAAAAAAAGAATTTCTGATTGTAGTGTTTATGAGTAAGCTTGAAATTGGAAATTTATTTTGTAACAGTACTGCAAACGGTAAGAATATAGAGTATGAAGAATAGAGGGAATCACATCAAGGTCTAAGACCTAGTATCCCGCCTCCAATGGCCATAAGTAGATGGCTACAAAAGTGTGTAAGCAGGCGGATATAGTATTTGCTTTTGGAACTCTCCCAAATGTTTCTTATTTGGAGATTTCCTGAGCTCATATGTCTCTGTGTATTTAGTATCTCACACTAAATACATTTCTGTGAATCCACTTACCTATATTATTAAAGTGAGCATGCACAGTATATACTGGGAACATCTGAGAACGTAATGAGTAAATCATAAGCATGAAACTGTGTAGACGTATTTGCTTACCAGCTTTATCCTTTCATTCTGTGTAAGCAGAGAATCGCAGGATTTTATGAATTGGAACCATGGATCTTCATGCTCCAGAGGATAATATTAGTAGAATATGAATTATTGTAGTACAGTATGAGTTGAAGTCCATAACTGAAGTTTCTCAGTACAGAAAAAAGCACTGTATGGGTCTGAGGTACCCCATATATAGCCAGTGTTGATTCTGGGCCCTGTGATGTTCAACACAGTTCATGTGGAGAAGGCCAGGAAACTAGAGAATTCAGTGTCTCTGCTAGGGGAATTCAATGTCTCTGCTGGCAGATTATCAGGCAGATACTGAGATTTGCTGAGGGTTAGCAGTGGCCTATGATTATGTTGGGGTTTTTTTGTACTTCGTTTTAGTAGACCATTACTTACCCTGAAATCATATGACTGTGTTTCTGTAATTTCTTTTGTGTCAAATAAAAGAAAATAAAGTGTCCTGTAATTGCTGGTCTCAGAAGAAGCATGTTGTGACGAAATATCCCCTTTCAAGCCATTTTCTCTCAGTGGATTTTTTTTCTTAACTTTTCAAAGTACTTTATGCACATGAATGGAATCATTCATTGTTTAAATTGTCCTTAGTAGCAATGTATTGGCTTTGCAGTCCAGTTTGGAAAGCACTGTCTTTTATAACCGGTGACTTAGAACTTTCAGGTCAGACTTTGGTCTCAGTTAGCAACATGAAGATAAAAATGGGGATTTGACACAGTTTGGAAGTACTAGAACATAAGTAAGCAGCCCTTGATCGTCACAAGGTTAGCACAGTCATTATTATATTATTCATTTTTAATTATGTCTTGATTTACAGCCTGAAGTTAGTTCATTCAAGCTGACATTAATGAGAAATTATTTCATTCAAATAAGAGAAGAGCTGCATGATTGAAAGTAAACCTATTCTTGAGAATAATTTGAAATTTTTCTGTCCAGAGTTCTTATTTATGTTGGCTTTTCAGAAAATGCCTGTCTTTATTGGATTTCAAACCATACTAAGAAACTATGATTGTTTAAACTATACAGGTGTGGAAAACCCAACCTGTATATTAAAGCAACACTGAAACACTTTTGCATGGTAATTGTAAACACTAATTGTTGATGCATTCAGCTTCTTGGCCATCCAAATATAGAAGCCAAGTGCTGCAGAGGTTCTTTTTATGGCATTTCACAGGGCAGGAAGAAGGTAGGCTAGCTGACAATTAGGAAAAACATGGATGTTTTGATGACTTATGTCTCTGATGCAATCTGAGTAGCCAATTTAATGTCATTCTGAGCACCTGCTGTTATACTGAGGCATACAGCAGGGCTTATTAGCTCAGTTTGAACATAGCACTGGCTGCAGCTGCCTGGCTTCTCAGGGATTCTGGACTCCCTAAGTCCAGATGGTTTTGATTGGAAGAAGGTTTTGCTGCCTGCAGAATTCCACACAAACGTATGCTGTCTGTTTGGCCCAGCTCTACAGTGTGCTATGGATCAATTAAATAATCATTTATGTATATATTTATTTATATAAAATCATTCTTGTTTATAATGATTTTGAGTAATCAATTGATTTGAATTTAAATAAATCAATTATTCAGCAGACTGGGATCTTGGGTTCTGATCATTCAGGCTCTTAGTAGAAGTAGTTCCATGTGCCTTTGGGGGCTGCTTTCCCATTAAGACCGTGACTGCTTGTAAGAGCTGGAACAAACGATGTGTCAGTATCAAGACTAGTGAGCCCTAGGGACAACTTTTTTGCCCATTTGCCTAGAAATTTGAAATTTGCACAGATAATTTCATCACAGCTTCTACCACCTAACAAAATATTTCTCTGGCTATAATCATGAATATAATGATGTGATTTTGTGATGTATTTTCCTTCAGGATGCCTTTATTTAAGAAGGACATTGAAACCTAATATTTTGCATGCAAAGTGCTCTCTGTCCACTATAGCGATGAACAGGGAGAGAAAAAAATGTACATTGCATAGGATGCTGCTCGATCATGAGAATGACCCTTCCTGGAGATTTGTTTATATTCGCATTGATTTCTCTTCGAAGATCAAGATGAAAATGCCTCTTTTAGGTTTCATGTAGATGGAGTATATATCCATGATAAGTACCACATCAGAAGTCTTCTGGTTCATGGGCTCAAAAGCATGGGCCTCCAGAGTGGAATACCTGCAGAGAACTGTAACTACATCTACGCAAAGTGTTTTTCCATTTCCTAGTGTGGATTATGTACCTAACGCAAATGTCTCCTTAGCCAGTTATCATCCTATTTGTGAAAATGTTTTGTATTCTGCTCATGTTCTTCAGATGCCATCATTTAGGTAACGGAAGCAGTCAGGAATGATGAGATGAAGATTGAGTTTGTATTGAGAATAATTAGATGCTCTGCTAGCCTGCAAACCCAGAAATATACATGTTTCTTCCTCTCTCTCAGATTTATTAATTCATAATAATAATCAGTTATGCAAATATAAAAAGCATGCAGATTTCTAGCAGTTAAAACTTAGAGGGAATGTAACACTTGATGGTTAACTTCACTCATTTTATTTCAGAGGGAGATACAGTGTTCCAGGAAACCCGAAGATGGTTAATTCTCAAAAGGGATCGATTAAAAAGACTGTAGGAGTGAAGCAGATTCCAAAACTAAAGCACTGATTTAATGTTAATGCCAAAAACTTCCAATCACATGTTTAAAAATTTAATTTTACTGAAAGTATCTAAATTGAAAATGAATGTATTTATGCCTTTTTATAATACCAAACCCAGATTGGCATGTCTTCTTGGCAGCCTTAATGTGTTTCTTCTGCTTGCCATCTTGGTTCTGATGATCTCTTTCCATTATGGTAATTCTGTGTGTCAAGAAGTTAGGAACCTTGGAGAACATTTATTTTCTTTGTACACTAGGTAGGTCCTTAAACTCTTTGACTGCACAGCAACCATTGAAAACAAACAAGCCTGTAACATTTCTGACCTCTCAACAAAGAAGAAGAAAAAGGCAGACTGATGTAACCTGAAATATTGTCTCACCACCCAAAAGAGTAATTTCATATAAAATTGCATCCAAGATCATAACCATTCAGTATAGGCAGCACAGAGAGCCTCTCAAGTAGTCTCATGATGGTAGAGCTGAACATGCCTTTCATTTGGATTTTAAGAAGACTGACAGCATAGTTTACTATTCAGCTTGATTTTTTTACATGATACCACACAGTAGAGTTCCTTTATAATACAAAGTTGGTTTATATTCCATGAGCTTTCTTCTGTAGCAGAGGAAACAAAACACTTCCAAATGTAACTTTTTAAAAGCTGGCTTGCCACAGACCCTGTGTTGACCACCTCTTTCTGTCTGCACAGTATAAAAGCACAGCACCATTTCCAGCTACTTCAGGCACTAGTAATGAGTATATATGGAAGGAAAATTGAGCACTTTTTATTAAGGATTCTTCCACAAGAGCCTATCATCTTGTGGAGGGGTTGTTTCTTTTAAACACTATATATACATTATATTTCCTGATTCTCGTATGTTGTTATTTGAAATTTGAACTCTCCTATGAAACTTTGTGTCCACAGTCTGGGTTCCATAAAAACCTCTATGTATTCTTCAGTGCCACTGATACATGTATTTTTATGGTCCAAAATAGTGACAGTCCTTAAAGTCATCCCTTGAATGAAGGTAGAATTGTATTTTCATTCTTAAGTGTGCATTTATTATATTCATTACCTACATTTTAGTCATTAAACTTCAGTAGAATTTTTTTTAAGTGGTAACAGGAAAAATGTTTTGGTAATGAAGCTTTGAGCCTCTGGGTTACATCTTAAAAGCTCTTGGCAGAGCAAATGGTTTAGAAGTGCTTGACTGCCTTTTATTATTTTTAAGAGCATGCCTAGCATTTTGCAGTACCTAATAAAGCTTTTTGATTCTTCAAGAGCAGTACTAATAGTTTCTTATTACTGGCAGCATTACAGTGGGGCTGTAATTAAACACATACAAAAAGATCACTGATGTCATTCTGAAATGAAGAGAGAAAAGACTGGTGGTATTGTACAGCATGTTCTGTATGGAAACCCCATTATTTTTTTCTCTTCCATAGTATGAGATTTATTACAGATATTTGTTATGTTGCCATGATGCACCTGGTACCATTCTTTCATAAGCAGGGTGGTCTGCCCAGCCAGTTTTTTCCTCCCGGTCACAGTTAAAAGCATAGCACAGCTGATGAGGCTAGCACTGCTCTGCTCCTGCTTTTCACATGGAAAAATTCCAAATTTTGATTGTGCTGGCATTTGTCATTGTGGAGGAGGAGAGGGGAAAAAAATCACCATAATGGTCCCACTGGCGTAGAAGACAAAGGACATCTGCAGTAGTGAAGATTATCCAGTTCCTGGATTCATGCAGCAGACATTTACTGCTACTGTCTCTGAATTGAATGTTAGTCAATGCACTCAAGCCTGGCCCCAGAGCACCTCAAACTAACTGGGAACATTGCACAAATATGGCAGAATGCATTTTTTCACAGCGAGAGGCTTGGATGCTTCCCTCATGGGTAGTCCTCACTGGGGACTTAAAAAGAGACTTTTTTGGGAATTCTAAAAGAGACATCTATTGATACAATTTGGTACAGTAATGACCTGAGGAGGGGAGCAGACCATGTCCTACTTAGTCTCTGATTCAGCTTGTCAGGAGCAATTGCAGGATTTGAAACTCAGTCATATGATAATTGAGCCCTCAAGCATGTGTTTGACCATTTTAATTGTGTATCCAGTTGTAATATTTGCTGTACAAGATGGTTATAGCTCTGCACTTGTACACTTTGAATTAATAGTTTCATTTTCCTTCTGCCTTTCTGAAAATAAAGGCACCCTGATAACTTCGATGTTATAAGTTTGATTACTCAAGTTTCTTTGAAACAGCAAAAAGATAGTTTTTGATTTCAAAACTGTTGTGTTATTTCTTTGGACCTGAATAAAACTTTTACACTGCTAGCTTTCCCAAACCGTGTTGGAATTTTTGGTTTGGTTTGATGGTTTTGGATGGATGAATGTTTTGGAATACCTGGATTTATCTTGCATGGACTTTTCTAACTATCATTGTACTGTGTTGTGAAATGGGTTTTGATTACATTTGCAGCAATGAGCAGTTACATGTCTTTAAACAATATATTCTATACAAATATTTTAGCACATTTAGGAGTAATTAATCCTTGAAAGCAGAGTACGTACTATTGGTTTAGGCACAGAAAGCTCAATCGCAGAGCTAGGTTTATTTAAAGTAGAGATGGGAGTGTAGCAATGTCTGGTTTTCCCGTGATTTCATGATGGTGATCTTTTTGTAATGTTGCTGACCATTGTATGGTAAATTCTGTCTCCTCTAAAGACTCTGTGCATCATCTTCTAAGCTGGACAAATCTGAAGATAAAAATGAGAAATTGAATTGCTGACAGCTGTGGCTGGTAAGTGAATGGAGCTAAACACCAGAGGAAGATAGATTAGATTAGATTAGATTAGATTAGATTAGAGTTGAAGGTTTGAATCTGGCCAAACTTCTTCCTGAAGCAAAGAATGTGATTGGGATTCCAGATATGTTGGTTACTGGTTGTAGTGTGTAAGTGCCTTTAATTGGTGGACTAAGAAATTTTATATCCTAACTCGGGACTTGAGAGTATGCTTCCCTAACGTGGTTACTAATGTAACTTCACAGATTTCAGATGAGTCATGATTTTGAGGTAACTTTGGCATTTTGAATATTTACCCATATTGCTGCTGGAAAACCTGAACTAAAAAACTCAAATGCCAGTAAACAGACATTTCTTATTTCCCAAAAAACCCTGTTTGTTTATTTTGTTTTTAAATCCCATGATTAAGAGGTTATTGAGTCATGCTTTTTCTTTTTAATGAATCAGCATAGCACCACTGCATTCCTCTATAATAGAATAAAGTGTTTATTGGATAGGCATTGACTGTGTGGTTGATTATTGTGTAATTATGCAGCATAACCACAGACTCCAGAGAACTTGGGTGATGACCTTGCTCATAGTCAGGATATTATTAATAATAAGTAAGATATTTCATTGCTTAAATACTTTGTTTAATGGGTTCTCTATGCAAATAACTGATGAGGTGGTACAGTTCACAGCTTCCCTGATTCCTATGATACTCCATCTCCAATGGTAAAAATGAGATGCATAATTTACCCTTAATGCATTAGCAGTAGTGGAAGATGCTGTGTAGGCATTTTTAGAAGTGTGATGTAGACACATTAGCAATCAAATAAATAAATAAATAAATGAACCTTATGTTATTAAGCTTCTGCTGTTGCTGCCAGACTGATGTCAAATGTAAACAGTAATTTGTACTGACTCTGGTTGGAAGCAGAAGTGTATGGATTAAAATCACAGCTAATTGCAACAGTTTTATCTCTTTACATACAGGTGTCACACTAATGGCAGACAACTCTAGACTGGATAATGACGCTTTTCAAAGGTGGCAGCATGTCATTTAACTTCGCAGATCAGTTTAACCCTCTTTTCCAAAGATATAAACATTGTATGTAGTTTCTTGTGGGTTACAGCTCGGAATCCAGTTTTACTGTACTTTGCTAATCTGTGCCATACACCACCAAGAACCACATACAGTGAGTCCTAATGAGCACCTTGCATCTACAGGAGCAGCAGGCAAGTGGGAGTAGGCCTTCCCTGTGATTCTGTGTGCAAACTGATGTGCCACGCCGTAGCAGCAGCTCACTCAGACTCTGCCATCCTGTCAGCAAGAACCAGCAATGGCTGAGCTACTGGGATGGGTTTTAACCTCTGAAGCCATTCTGGGGGCTGTCTCTCACACAGGTGTCTTCCATCATGGTCCTGTCCTCCATGTAGCAGCATCCTCTTAAAAAGATTGTCAAGACTCTGCAAGTTTTTTCACAAAGAAGAATCAAGGTGTTTTGTGTCCTCTAGCTGGCAGAAGATAGCATCTAGCTGGCTTAGCTGTGCTCTTGCCATTACTTTATAGAAACTTCTCACAGTGCTTGTGATTCTCTGTATTATGCTCTCAGATATCCTCTCCATGACTAGACATGCTGACACATTACCTGATAGCAATGGGAAGAGAGATATATGCCTGGTGGTGGTAACAGGGTTACAGGAGTTGCACTGTCTACCCACAGCACAGAGCTGAGGACCAAAGAATGGCAGTCTGCTCCCTTTGGCACAGGACTGTTTCAAGCTTCTCCAGTTATCTTTCTAGAAAGGCAGATTATTTGAGAGGGCCTACCCCCAGATGAGGTTCCTTTGCCTTTCATAAGCAGGGACAAAACAGGGCTGAGAACACAATACTGACCTGTTGCAGATGCCTCAGTTCACCTAAGAGAGGCTCATCAGCTGCTTGTGCTTATGCCTTCAGTGAGACCTCAGCCTCCAGGTGTAGGCAATGCAGGGTCTTCAAATTTTGCAGCTTGGAGCACTCTTTTGCTATCTTCTACCCATGTTTGGGTATCACCACCAGTCCATCAGAATTCTGTATCAAAGACTTCCTTGGCGGTGTGTTCCCTGAGGAAGCAGTAGAGCTTCATTTCCAGGCTGGTAAAGTTCCATCAGTCTGATTTCCATGTGACTTCCTCAGCCATGCCTTTGTTGCCTGGGAGAAGATGAACTCTGTTTTAGGAACTGTCCTGGGTTCAGCAGTAGCAGTCATGTTTTTTCCTTTGTGTTAACTGGTGCAGTGCTGTGTTTTGACTTCTAGTTTGAGAACAGTGTTGGTGAAGCCGATGTTGTCGGTTGTTGCTAAGTGATGTTTTCCCTGCCCGGAACACTATCCTGGGCCTTGAGAAACAGATTTTGTGGCGACACGGCACCCCAGAGAGAATTGAGTCAGACAATGGGACTCATTTCCGGAATAACCTTATAGATATTTGGGCCAAAGAGCATGGCATTGGGTGGGTATATCACATCCCCTACCATGCACCAGCCTCTGGGAAAATCGAACGGTACAATGGGCTGTTAAAAACTACACTGAGAGCAATGGGTGGGGGAACTTTCAAGCATTGGGATACACGCTTACCAAAGGCCACCTGGTTGGTCAACACCAGAGGATCTGCCAACAGGGCCGGCCCAGCCCAGTCAGAACTTTTACATATTGTAGAGGGGGACAAAGTTCCCGTGGTGCATATGAAGAATTTGCTGGGGAAGACAGTCTGGGTGTCCTGGGTTCAGCAGTAGCAGTCATGTTTTTTTCCTTTGTGTTAACTGGTGCAGTGCTGTGTTTTGACTTCTAGTTTTGAGAACAGTGTTGGTGAAGCCGATGTTTTCGGTTGTTGCTAAGTGATGTTTACCCTGACCAAGGACTTTGTGAGGCTCATGCTCTGCCAGGGAGGAGGGGAAGCTGTGAGGAAGCAGAGACGGGGCGCCTGACCCGGGCTAGCCGGGGAGGTATTCCATACCACAGCACGTCATGCCCGGGGTGGGGGGTAACTGGGAGTTGCCCGGAAGGACAGGGGCTTCCGGGTGGAACTCGTTTTCTTGGCCGGTGGTATCGTATTCTCTTCCCTTGTTATTTTCCCTTATCATTGTTTTAGCTGATAGTAGCGGTGGTGATTTGTTGCTGGACTGTTCTTGTCTCAACCCGTAGGAGTTGCACTCTCTCGATCCTCCTCCCCGTTCCTCCGGGAGCGGGGAAGGGGAGAGCCCCGGTGCAGGGAGGGGGGGGAGACGAACACGGACCTTGATTGTTGTCAGCTTGGCACCACTCACTGGGAGTGAGTGAACAAGTTACCTGACTGGGTTTAAACCACGACAGTTCTTTTTTGGCGCCCAACGTGGGGCTCGAGGGGTTGAGATAAGAACAGATCTGACTGGATTGATAGTCACTCGTCACAATGCTGATTTATTGGCTCTCAAGGTTTTTCCTCTTGATCTCACAGTTTCAGTATACCATATCTTACGTCCATCCGGTATTGGCTGTATTAGTGTTTTTCAAGTGTGGGGCTTGGGCTAAGGTTTTTATCCCATTGTACTTTATGGTAATGACTTGTAATACAATAGAATCATTGATCATGAAACTGATCTGGTTTATGTTCCCAGTGTGGTCACCACCTTTATACTTTGGGAGGTATATGATGGAGGTGCTTAGCAATTACACATCTTTTTTCTCCTTCTCAGGTGCTCAACCTGTGAAGGAGACATCCTTTTACCCTCCTAGTCGTCCCCCCAGACCATTTACATTTGAGAGTTTTGAATTTTTTAAATGGCCTTTTAATGCTCTTGAGACTTGTTTGCTGATGGTGATGGGAATCACCATGCTAACACGCATACAGAGTGTGTTTTGCCCACTACTGATTTCAAGAGTTAAGCAGATTCAGGTTTGGGTCTTGTCTGGGGTCAAACGACGATGTAGGAGGACCGAGAGACTTTCCCAGAGGCTGGACAGCCATGAGTGGCAGGGTGTGTGGGATAGTATGGGCAAGTATCTAGGTCAGTGGGCCCCTCCAGTATTTTGGAATTTCACTACCGAACAACTGCAAAATCCAGAAGAATTAGTAAAACACTTAAATGAGGTGTGTGGTCATTCTGGCCATACCAGAGATGGACAAATCACGGCAACGTGCTGGGGCTTGGCCTATGCTTACAGGGCCTTGTTCAACACTATTCAGCACCTTCAAAAGGAAAAGAATGTCGGCGGATTTGAGGGCAAAGTGACAGTCGCTACTCAAACTTTGGCTGCAATGAACTGCGCAGCTACCCCAGTGGCAAGTACAGCAGCTGCTCAAACTTCAACTGCAACAGACAGCGCGGTTACCCCAGCTCCAAGCACGGTAGCTACACCACCCCCAGCAACAAGTACAGTCGCTACTCAAACCACAGTGATAATCACTGCAGCCAAACCAGAGGACCAATTCGTACCAATATCGGTTGCCCCTGTACGCAAGAGAACAAGCAAAAAGGAGGCAAAAAGGGTGAAGCGAGATGAAGAACCAATGAATTCACCACCCGGTCCAGAATCTGAT